TCCCACGCGTCGCTCTCGACTTTCCCCTGTCCTTTCATTGCTTGTTTGGGTTTTCTCGGAGCACAACGATAGCGCGAGAAAGGACCGCAACGCGCGGCCACCGCTGCTCGGGGCGCTCTGGGGGCGGCTTCCCGGCCCCGCTCCGCTCCCGGCCCGCAGCCCCGCCGCTCCGCGCCCAGCGCACGGCCGTCGGAGCCCAGGAGGGCAGGAGCGCAGCGTGCGGGGCTGTGCCGCTCTCCCGACGGCGTTAGAGCCGGGCCGCCTCATTTCATCGAAAATCGCATTAAGGTCAAATACAGCGTGCTGCCCCGTTACTGCGTAATCGCGCCTAACGGAATGTGCGCGCTGTGTGTGAAAAGGCTCCTTAAAGAGGGAGAGAAGTGAATGAAACGAAGCTTGGTGACACGGCCGTCTGCCCGCGGAGCTGCCGCGCTTACGCGGCTCTGCCCCGGCGCCCGGAGCCGCCCGCACTGCTGGAGGGACGGCGCCGAGAGCGGGCGGTGTGCGGGCCGTGCCTGGGCTCTACCCGGGCCGCCCACAGGCTGAGTGCGGGCTGCGTGCGGGCACGGGCCAGCCCCCCGAAGCCGAGCGGGCAGAGGCGGCGTTGAGCCGTAAGGTGCCACGTGCCGGGGTGTCCCCGGAGGAGCCCCACAGCCGCCGCGTCCCCCAGCAGCAACCCGCTGACCCCGAGCTGCGCTCCGTGCGCAGGGGCCGCGGCCAACGCGAGGCTCCATCGAAAAGCGGATTCCGCTCCGGGCGACTCGGCGTTCATTCGGAACGGATTGCCAGCAGCCCAGCGAGCCCCGCAGCTGCTGGTTTGGCTCGAAGAGCCCCGTGTGGTTTATAAACTTGTAGAGGGAAAAAGGAAAAAGATGTCCATCCAAGTAAACTCTAAGTGAAAACTCATTGATTACCTCCGCCTCCCTGTCTCTGATCTGATTAACCGTTTGCCATCACACTTTCCGAGTCACTTCTGTGCTGGTTTCCCTCTGCCTGAGCTCTGCGAGACTCTTCCAGAAGGGCGCTGTGATGTCGGGACCAACAGACTGTAAACAACCACAAGAAACACAGCAAATGTTTTCAATCCAGCTAGGGGACTAAAACAAACTGCCCGCATCAGGCCGGCCCGTTTCGACGAACGCCTCCCAGGCCGCTGCCGAGCGCACTGTGGAGCTACCTGGGCTTGGTGGATGCGGGCGGGTGCCGCGCCCCGCCGGGCAGAATCCTCCCGGAACCCCCGACCTGTGCCGCTCGGGTGGGGCTCCGAGGGTGGAGGAGGCACGGGGGGACCCAACGGGCGCGCCCTGCTTCAATCCCAGCGGCCGAGGACTCCCGACTGCACTTATCCGGGCCCCGGCCCGTTGTACCGTCGGGTTTTTCCGTCGTGCCGACTGTCCGAGCCCACCTGCCCGAGGCTCGCTGCCCGCGGCCTCTCCTGCGGATGGGCGGGTGGGCGGCCCCGGACTCTGCAGCGAGGCCGGCAAGGGGACCCCCGGTGCTGCTCCCCCCCCACTCCCGTAGGGCCGCCCCGAGGTTGCATCGGCACCGGGCGGGGCCGGACCCCGGGGCGGGTGGGAGCGGGGATCCCGCGGCAGCCCCGAATGGCAGCGGGGGGCGGCGGTGGAGAGAGGGGCAGCAGAGCCTGGCCGTGCCACAGCCGTCACAGGCGGAGCGGCGATTTTTTAAATAACAAACGTATTTTTTATTTCTGAAACAAAAATATCGTTTTCGGCTTAACAATAGCCGGATCTCTCTGAATGAAGCCTCTGCATATTTTCCTGTTTTAATTGGTTGTATAATAAACAGTCCTGACCCCACACTCTCTTTTCAATGAGTTCAGGGTGAAACGCGGACCATGGGACTGGAAATGACTTTTTCACCACTTAAAACACGGACAAGAATACCAGGAATCAGGCGGCATCGATCGGCCGGGCGGGAGGGGCCTCAAGGTGAGAGAGGCTGCGTGACCCTCCTCGCTCGACCCGCAGCCTCCGGCACCCCGGCCCCGGACACCGCAGCCGAGCCGAGTTGAGCCGCGTTGCGCCGAGCCGCGCCGAGCCGGCCGGCAGTTCTCCCGACTCAAGGCTACGCACCCTACGAGCACCGCCAAGGCCCGACGGCTGCGCGAAGGGCGGCAGAAGAAGACAAACCGGCGTGCGCAGAAGAGCGCTCCGGGCCCGGCACTGCTGTGGGGCAGCCGAGGGGCGGTGGGCGCCCTCCCAACCCCAGGCCGCCGAGCCCTCCCTCCCCTGGGGCCCGTCGCAGCGCTCTGCCCCTCCGGCGGCGGCGGCTCGGGGAGGTTGCTTCCACGCCCGCTCCGTGCACGGAGAGCGCAGTCGTCGCTCTTCTGCTTTCATCTCTCGCCAGCGTTGCATAAAGCCCATAAGACGGGGCCGCTCGGGCGGCACCTCGGGCGAGACCGCGGCCCCGAGTCCCCCCGCCCCAGGCTCCCCCCAGTCCGGCCAGACTGGGGATGCGCGGTGCCCTTTGGCCGACGTTAGATAACGAGCACGGGTCTGGCACGGTGCGCGAAGCCGTGAGACTGCCGCTCCGTGTGGGGTCAGCGGGGCTGGGGACCGCGCGGCCCGGGGCACATCAGAGCCCAACCCGAGCAGATCCCCGGCACAAAACCCGATCCGACCCACTTGGGGCCATTCACGTGGCCCGGATCCCGACCTCGCGGGGCAGCGGGGCTGTCGGGCAGCCCAAGCTGGGGGAGCGAGCACTTGCAAGTAGGGTCAGTCCCCGCCGCCCCAGGCAGCAACGAAACGGGAGGGAAGCAGCGAACCCTGCCAGGATCACCGGGATATGCACCGGGCCACTCTCGGAGCGGCAGGACAAGCCTGGCTCGGCCGAGAGCTCCGCACCGGGCTTCCCGGGCGATGCGAGTCGAAGGCTGCAGCCGAGCCCCGAACACGGCAGCTGTTACTGAACCACACGAGTTTACATTCGGTGCCGCCTTGTTTATAAAATACAGAAAACAATCGCGAAAACATCCTACGGGCGCGACGGCGGCGCGGCTCCGCTGGGTGCCGGGCGCTCGGAGGGCACAGCCCGGCCCCACGCACGAGCAGCCGCTGCACCCCGCCGCCCGCAGTCGCGGAGCAGAGTCCGTTGGGCACGGGCAACCCGAGAGCCCCGAGGCATCTTATGCCCGCCGCCTGTCGTCCAGGAGGGCCTCGGGAAAGAGCCCCGCATCGCACGGCACCGAGAACCGCGAACCGTTCCGCTCCCCATGCTGGGTGCTTGTGCTGCCTGGGGCCGCTCCCTGCAAGTCACCGCCCGCAGACCCCGAGGGAAGCGCGGTGGCCCTGGGGCCCCGTGGCGGCGGGAGGGAGTCCCTTCCGAGTTCACGGCCTCGACGGATCTCGGAGGAAACGAGCGGGGACGGGCAACCCTGAACGAACGAGGAACGGTCACGTCAGCGCCGTGCAGCGCCGATCCCGGGCACGAAGCGGAGCTGGGCCGATGTGCGGCGGCACCCCCGGCACCCTCGGCCCCGTTCCGTCCTTTCCCCTAGCGTGGCACTGGTGCTGGAGATCGAGCCGCTCCGCTCCCTCCCCGCCGTGCCCGGGCCGAGCCGGGCCCGCAGCCCCCGCGTCCCTCACCGCCGCCCCCGGCCGGAACAGAGCCGCGCGCCGCGCTCCCTCCCGGCGCCGTCCCGCGGTGCCCACACAGAGACGCACAGATCCCCGGCCCCGCTCCGCACGCCGCGCCCGTTTCCGTGCCGGAGCCACGAGACGCCTCGTTCCCCGGGCACGGAGGCTGCAGAGGGCCTGGGAGCCGGGCCCGGGCCCGGGGAGCGCCGTTACTCGGGCTTCGGCCCCGCGGCATCGGCACGGGGCTCGGACAGGCCGCCGGTTCCGTAGCGGCACGGCACGGGTCGGGAGGGCGCAGGGCTGCTCCGCGTCGCTCTGCTCCGCGGCTCCGAGCGAGCGGGGAGAAGCAAAAGCGGAGCCGGGGCACGGCGGGCAGAGCGCCGGGACGGGCCCAGGGCTAACCGCGGGGCCGCACGGAGCCGGGCAGCGGCGTCCCGCGGCGGAGCGACAAACGGCGGTCTCGGCGCTGCCGCTTCTCGGTCCCGGCGCGGAGAAGCGGAGAGAAACAAAACAATATTAAGAGAAAGGCATTTATTGGAGACCTTACAAGGCTAGAAAGTACATTAACAGTGCTAGGCCACTCTAGAGAAGTTGGTCCCAAAACGGTACTACGCCACAGCATCTATCAGCTTACAGAAACGCTTACACAATCGCTAAGAACTGGCCCCTGTGTTATACACGCTATTTCTTTTCACATTCATCTATGTAAAATCGAAGGATCAAAACGTTTTAAGAAAAACGGCGAGCACTCAAAGCAGAACCTACCGAAATCCCTTTCGGGCCAGGTTTGGGGACAAAAATACGGAGCTAGTTTAAACTTTCATTATCAATTATACTATGAGCACGGAGAAATAGTCAAATTTCATAGGAAACCGTCTTTTTTTTTTTATAACATCAAAATATATTTTTTTAGACCTACATAAAATTTCTTGTAAGACCTCAGAGGACATCGTCTCCTTTAAAAACCGTATCTCCCACGGCCGGAGCCTTCACGAACGGTCCCGGCCCCCGGATCCCACCGCGCAGTCCCACCCGGCGCCGCCCGGGGAAAGGCACCACAGCAGCGCCGCGCTTTGCGGCCGAAGAGGAAGAGGAGCGGGAGGAAGAGGCCGAGCTCAGCCGGCGGCACCCGGGCCCGGCGAGAAGGCCGCGCTGCTCACAGGCCGAGCCCGAGCGCTTGAAGGCCGAGTCACAAAGGAGCAGAGTTCGGAGAGGCGGCGGCCCGCCGTCCCCCGCGTCCCCCGCGCCCCCAGAAATAAAGCGACAAAAAGCCGACCCCGAGGCCTCTCCGAAGACAGACACACACACACAGACGGACCGGCGGACAGACCGCGCCAACCGGGAGCCGCCCGCCCGCCGCGGCGGGCACGGAGAGGGACGTCCGCAGCCGGAGCGGGCGTCGCGCGGCGGCGGCGGGGACCCGTTCCCTAGATGTCAATGCGGGAGTGCAGGGCGCCGTGTTTGCTGTCGTGCTCCCAGTAGGAACAGTGCATGACGGACAGCTCGGCGGGCTGGCGGGCGCAGGCGAACTGGAGGCCGGCTCCGTTCGCGGCCGGGGCGGCGGGAGGCGCGGGGCTGGCCGGGCCCAGCTGCTGCGGGTGGTGGGCGTGCGGGTGGTGCGGGTGGGCCACGCCGTTGTAGGAGTTCACCATGCCGGGTAGCGCCACACTCTGCACCCGCGAGTAGGGGCCGTAGGAGGCAGGGCCCGAGAGTCCTTTCACGTTGACGGGGCTGACGCTGCCGCCGGACATCTGGCAGGAGGCGTAGGGCACGGGCGCGGGGGGCTGCGGCAGCGGCCACGAGTTGTTCATGAAGGTGGACTGCAGGTACTTGGGCGGGGAGAGGTAGCCGTAGCCGTCGGGGCCGAAGAGGCTCTTGCCGGGCTGGAAGTGAGTCGGGGGCGGCCGGAAGGGCCGCTTCATCCTCCGCCGCCGGCGGTAGTTGCCCTTCTCGAACATGTCCTCGCAGGCGGGGTCCAGCGTCCAGTAGTTGCCCTTGCGCTCCCCGCCGCCCTCGCGGGGCACCTTGATGAAACACTCGTTGAGACTGAGGTTGTGGCGGATGCTGTTCTGCCAGCCCTTCTTGTTCTTCTCATAGAAAGGGAACTTGCTGATGATGTACTGGTAGATCCCGGACAGCGTGAGCCTCTTCTCGGCGCTCTCCCGTATGGCCATTGCGATCAGGGCCACGTAGGAGTAGGGGGGCTTCTGCGACGGGTCCGGCTTTTCGGGGCCCTTCTCGGCGCTCAGTTCCTCCTTGCCCCGCTCCGGCTCCTTGCTGCCGCCGCCGTCATGGGCCAGCATCGCCACCGCGTCCTCCTCGCCGTCCGCGTAGCCGCTCATCATGGTGTCCGCGGCCGCGCGCCGCGGTGCCGGCGCGGAGCTGTGCCGGTGCGGAGCGGTGCGGGTGCAGAGATCTGCTGCTGGCGGCCGTCCCGTCGGGAGCTCGCCGGAGCCGGGGCCGGGGCCGGGACGGAGCTCGCTCGGCGCCTCTCGCGGCGCCGCGGGTCCGTGCAGCGCGGCGGCGGCGTCCCTGCCCCAGCGGGCTCCGCTCCCCTCTGCCGCGGCGGCCAGGCTCTTTTCTGATTTGTATGGGCCCGGCCGAGTTCCGCTTTCGTCAGGAGCCCGCTCCCCTATCGCCGCCGAGCCGCTGGGCACGGCCGGGTTCAGCCCGCAGTCACGGCGCTCGGCCCCGCGCACACGCGGCCCGACGTGGCCCCGCGGAGCGGCGCGGCGTGGAACCGCCCCGGTGCGGCCGCGCCACCGGGGGGGTGGGGAGGCGGGGGGCTCCAACGAGCCGCCCCCGCCGCCGCCGCCGCCGCCGCCCTCCCGCCCTCCCCGGGCCCGCGGCTCGGAGCTGTTCCGCGGACGGCAGCCGCCGCGCTCGGCCCTGCCCGGTGGCTGCACGCGGCCGCGTTTATGTTTTGGCCCCGGGCCGCGCTCGGGGAGCAAAGGGAGGTTGGGAGCGTTTCTGCCGCTCGGTTCTGCCGTCCGTGTGGCACGGAGCGGGGCTGTGGAGTCGCTCCTTTTCCCTCCTGCAACGGCTGCCGGGCCGCCAGAAGCCCTGGGGCAGGGACGGAACAGGGCAGGGCAGGGTCCGTGGTGCCCCTGCGCTCCTCCCCGCAGGGCTCCCACTTATTTCGCACGCATCCCCGAGGATCGCATCTTTTCCTTCCCCTGTTCTGCCTTTGGGTGAAGCCTCAGCGAGCGGCGGTATAGAAGCCTGAACTGAAAAGGTGCCGTGTCACAACGAATCGTTAACGGTATCGTTCTACCTGCAGTCACAGAAATAGGCGAATAAGACCGAGGATGCTTCAAACGATTTTTGAAGCAGCCCTCACCCCGGAGCAGCCGAGCTCCGGCCCACCTGAGAGGCCCTCGGGGCGCGGCGGAGTCTGGCCGCGGACACAACCCGAAGCAGGGGACCGGGGCCGCAGCCGAGCACAGCTCTGCGCTTCGTCTCACGGCAAGGGCTGCCGAGCAGCGCGGCTCGCTGAGTTCCACGCGCAGCCCCGTGGCTGCTGTTCGCACCCGGCCCGCAGCCCCACTTTCACCTTTCTGGGACGCGAATCGCTGCTAAGCGCTATTCCCCGCCCCGCGCACTTTGCGTGCCATAACATTTTTCGTAACCAAGCCCAAACCCGAGCGCGGAGGGACGGCAGCTCCCGGCGGAGCTCGGCCGCTCCCGGTGAGTGTGCCCGGGGAGATGCGCAGGGGTCCTGCTTCCCTCTCCGGGAGAGGAATTTGGAACGAACCCTAGGGGAGAAAATGAATCACCCTTCGGGAGCTGTTGTATTTATCGATTAAAATATAGTTCTGCACGTTCACCTACAGCTGCACAGGCTGATCACTTATCTCGCGTCCGTCGAGAAACTCACGTTCCTAAAACACGATCTCCACACATGCGGTCACACCAACGACACACCTTGCTTTTCGGCGCACAGCCCTCGGCGCCCAGCAACACCCCCGGGCCCAGTCCTACCCCGGCCATCTCGCTCCCGCAGCCGCCCGCTCCCGCAGCCGGCCCCAGCTGTGTGTGCCGCCAGGCCGTGGACGCGGGGCTCCCCAGGGCCGGGCGAGCCTCTCGCTGCGGCCACCCATGCAGCTCCCGGCGCTCCCCTCGCAGGCATTTCCGCGGCGAGAGCCGGGGCAGGTGGAACAGCACTGCTGCGTGTGTCATCACCTCCTCCAAATGGCTCATTCCTCCCTTTTCACTCCAAAACCGAGCGCGCGGCTCCTCTCCAGGGCCCGCTAGCTCACAGAGGACATTTGACATCCAAGGAGTTCAGGAGTTAATTTTTCTTTTCTTTTGTTTTCTCTTTTCTTTTCTTTCTTTTCTTTTCTTTTCTTTTCTTTTCTTTTCTTTTCTTTTCTTT